AGGGGATGGTCGGTTCGGGTTTGCTCATTTTGGGGTGCCCTCCTCGGGTGATGGAAGGAGGTGGTGGTGTTTATTGAAGTTCAAGTGGACAGTGCGGGGGAGGGTTGGGGTAGCTGCATCTGCAGGACGCTTTTTATATATAGGGCCCCGGATATTGCGGGGTAAGTTCATCCCGAAGAGGGCTTTTCCGGTTCGTCGCAAGCTTTTCCGACGGTGGGCGGAGATGTCGGCATCGGAGGGGAACCGCGTTTGTTCTTCGGGACGAATACCGAGTCGTATCTGTGGGAAGTATGCAACTTTATGGTAGATTTACACTATGTAATTGTTGGGTATGCGTATGTCTGACAACACCAATAGATCTGCAGTAAAGAACAGTAATATGAGAAGAAGAGATTTGCAAAACACTGCCCATTTGAATGTTGTATTAATACAGCTTCACTTTCTAAATGATGCTATGTGACATGAAATATAGTTCCGGATCGTGAATCAAGGTGCATATGAAGGCATGGCTAGCTACCCACAGGGCACCGAACGGGTAGGTCTTCAACGTTCCATGCATATTGTATTCAGTCATCTTTGAAATTTGGATCCACCGTTTCGTTCGGCGGCCACCAGAAATCTTCCTCCAGCGCCTCGCAAAGATCTTCATCGACAGGACTCGACAAACGGGGACGAACCGGTGTGGACGAGACAGCGGGTGCAGTTGAGATAGGAGGCTCGGGGTCTGGGGCCAGCACCGGATCCGAGGTTAAGTCAATCACATCGACCCCTGCCACATTCATATGGGATCCCGCCAGTCGCCGCTTAGGTTTGAAGGGTGGCTCGGAGATCTCCGACTCCTCGTCGCTGCACAGGTCGATGATGCCCTTGGCATCCATATGGATCCGTCTCTTGTAACCAGCCCGCTGGTTCCGCGCCCGCGCGATCTTTCGTTGCAATTCCACCTGCTGTTGGTCTTTCTCTTCCAGTGCAAAGCGATACCTAGGGTCAAGTCCATCGAGCTGCAGAGCCTGCCACTTGTCTGCCAACCTCGTATAAGCAAGCTCATCGGCTGGCGTGTTCTCTGGTCGCGCCCACGCCGCGAATGGACCATCGTAGTACGGACCTTTTCCAACCCCATAGATAGGATGCCGCTCAAGCTGGCCGGTTCGCAGTAACTCGGCGCCTGCAGCGACTCCAGAGTCTGGCTTATCGGGGGACTCGGTCCTTGGTGGTTCCCATGCAGGTTTGTATTCAATAGCATTATCCTGCGTGCGCGAGAAGGGTCCCGACGACAGCATGTGAATTCCGCCAGCGGCATCCCCGACTAGGAGATTGGTTTTATCGGGTGAGAAGGAGAGACTCATGATCTCCTCGTCGAGACTTGCAAGGTCTTTCTCGAGGACATCTTCTGGAGCTCGGAGAATATTCCATTTTTTCAGCACCCCGTCGGTGGCTCCACTGTAGAATTCGCAAACCGTATTGCCCCACAGAGCCGTTCTCACGCCAACATCTGCTTGCTCGCGACTCTGATTCTGATCTATCGGATTCAGCACTTCACCATGCTGAAGTTTGTGGAGAATCTCTGCCGGGTTGCGATAGTCCCAGACGTATGTCGCGCCATCGGTGCAACTAGCAGTGAGGTAGTTCGTGTTCGTAGGACAAAATGTCACATCGTTGATATCCAAAGCAGGGCATTCGAATTCCATGACACTGACTTTCGAGCTCAGCGGCTCATAGATACGAACGGATGATCTGCTTTCTTTGAAGGCCTTGTATGGGGAGTGAGCAATGTAGTTCGCCACGGCAGCAACTGGTAAAGACGGGTGCCACTTGATATCGAAGACGTTTTGGGAGCCGGGTAAGAGGTTGAGGGGCGTGATTGAAGCTTCGCTCACTTGCCAAGCTAGCAACTGGCCATCGGGCGTTAGGCTATCATGGCCCTTTTCACACAATCCGGCAAGGAGGATATTGCCAGTTTCTTGAATCGTGCCCCAGGCAAGAGAGGAAGGCACCATCTCAATAGCCTTGTTCGAACGAGATTTGCGGGTTTCGAGGAATGTGTAAGTGCGTTCGTCCAGTCTCCAGAGGCCGATCTCACGCGTCCCCGTTGCCAATAAATTGGGCACGTATTTCGAGCGGGCCATCACTTCAACCCTGGTATCATGCCACAACCGTTCGAAGCACCCTGTCCCCTTGCTAGATAAATGCCACAGTCTCACGGTGTTGTCGTAACTCGCCGTGAAGAGAGCGTCATCCCACCATTCAAGGGCGGTCACACTCATGAAGAGTCGAGAATCGTGAAGGTTCAGGTTATTGGCGGCCCTCGTCCGCGGTCGGGGTACCCAGTGATCCGGTAGCTCTTGCAAAGTATTCGTGGTCAGATCTCCAAACAGCAGATTGTTGTTTCGGTTATATGCCATATTGTGCTCGTCGCACTGGGCAGCTGCCCCGGCTGCGAACTTGGTACCATCGGGCGACCACCCCAAGACAATCACATCGCCGGAAGCGCCTTTCCAAGTCCAAGATCTCTCGAAGTTGTCGGAGGCCTGGGTACGGATCTTGCGCGCTGTCGAACGTCCCAGCTGACGTTGTTGTAGAAGTGCCGTCAATGTATTCGATGGATCTCTGGCTAGGCCGGAATGTGTATCGTGCAATGGAGGGGTCGCTAGGCATGAGTCATGGTGTGGTCGTTCGGGCTTGTGCTGGACACTCGAACATGGTGATGATGCGTAGCTGCGACCTCTTCTGCGCCGAGGGGGGTTCGGTACCAGGCTATCACTGCGATCCCTTCGTGGTCGCGAAGACCTCAACATATTATCTCCACGACCTCGGCTAGCTCCGCCGTCCAACCCGAAGCCTTCGGAATCCGAGCGATCATAGCATCTAGCAGGACCCTTCCGCAGTTGTGAAGACTGTAACTCAGTCTTCTCACGACCTTGGCCAACTCCACCGTGCGACCCGAAGCCTTCGTAGTTCGAGCGATCATAGTAGTTAGCGGGACCTTTCCGTGGTCGCGAAGGCCTCACCACAGTCTCTTCACGACCTCGGCTAACTTCACGATTCAGCCCAAATCCTTCATCGTTCGACCCATCGTAGTTTTTAGCAGGACCTTTTCGCGGTCGCGAAGACCTTACCACAGCCTCTTCGTGGTCTTGGCTAACTTCACTGTTCGACCCGAAGCCTTCGTAGTTGGAGCAATCGTAATAGTTAGCGGGGCCTTTCCGCGAACGACCCGACCGTCGCGCCCGCGTCGCCTTGGTCGAGTCCGATACTTGTGAGTGATCCGTGATGGGCAGCTTATCCTGAGATCTCGGTCTCAAAGACTCTGGCGTGCGGGGTAAGGTCAACGAGCGAGTGCTGCCGGTGGCGGGGGATCGGTCTTGGATCGTCGGGGTTTCGGTTCGATCGACGGACTGTGTGGCTTCGCGTTTCACAAGATTGGAAGGTCCCAAGAACTGCGCCAGAAGGTTCTCGGCTTCTTCGACCACGCTCTCATCGTCATCAGACTCCTGAGGCGTGAACCAGTGTGACATCATGCGATCTTGCCGGGTCTTCGATTTCGGCCTGTCATAGCGCCTGGCTTTTTCGGATTGAGGGACTGGCGCAGGTTGGGGTCCAACGAGGGAGTTGGGTTCAAGATCAAGTCATTTTCGTGTCACGGACGCGGCGAGGAACACGGGTCGTTGGCGATAAGGGAAACGCGGAGGGCGCGGACAGAACGCGGACAAATGTGACAAACACCTGCAAGCCGGTCGGTCACGTGTGCATTGGCCGAGGTCCTGCTTTGTTTCATCTCCACCTCTGTTGGCTTATAATTCTGCTCTGAAATTGCGAAATCGGTGAAGTTAGTAGGCCTAATACAAGGAAATCTAGTATCTGACATTGAGGGAGCGAATAAACCACAGACTCGACATCAGACAGCCATGTTTGATAATTTTGCTTCGATCATATCCCCTGCATTAAAAATTATACTACTATACATAAAGCCTTTTTACCTCTTCCCGTGCGCCATTACTATTCCAACTGAGCATCATTTCTGATGCTTGAGAATTATTTTCATATACCTGATCACAACATTAGTCCTTGATCTTCGAATGAAAGGGCGCGAACTCACAAACTCATTCCCGTCAAGGCCATCAGGATTCCTGCTACGCTCTGATGTGACACCACATGATCTGACAGAATCCAACCTAGCCCTACGATTATGCAGGTCTTCAATTGGCCGATGACAGTACTGGTAACTGGCCCTGCTGCGTCGATGATGTAGAATTGAGAGAGGTTGACCAGACATGCCATAATGCCGCTCTGCAAAGTGGTGAGTTAGCTGAATGTATAGAGCCAAGGGAAGGATGGAATGCATACCGCCAAGATAGACAGCCACAGGGACTCCGGCACAGATGAGACGGTTGGGAAAGTCTCCATCCAAGGGGCAATGCAGAGTAAAACAGCTGCGCTGATAGGCGCCTGGTTAAGCAGAAGCTGCATGCTGCTCATCTGCAGCTTCTTATGATAGCGGCCCACCAGCACGGTGTACATGGCACTGGCACAGACACCGGAGAGGGCGAAGAAAATGCCCTGCGCTGAGGTCGATTCAGTGCTCTTTGAGGTTGGTACAGAATCGTAGTACGAGACAACCCCCACGCCAGTGCAGAGTACAATGAGAGGCAGGAATGCGGCGCGAGGGATACTGGATTGATAGAGGATGTAGTTCAGCAGCGCAGTTGCAGGCGTAAGAAGTAATCGCGCCAGCTGGTGAAAGATAACAGAAGAGTGTGCGAGTGCAAGATTCTGGAATATCACTTGGATGCACATGGCTGCAACAAGATGGAGGATGCGATATGCAGAGACATGTTTAGGCTCGAACCAGCCACACCAGGGTCGAGAGGTGATCCAGAGGGTCACTCCAGTGATCGTGAAGTGATATGCAGCAAATGATACCTGGGAGTTTCGAAGCATGGCATGCGAGAGGACAGACTTGTTGGTGAAAACCTGTGGTATCCAAGTGAGCCTCACATTGCTTCAGATGAGGAGTTTCTGGTGCCTTACGATGGCTACAGTAGACACAATGTTGATTGTCATCCAGACAAGAAGACGAAGGCTTGATCCTGATTGTTCCTCCGAATGTGTCTTATCTGGTGTCTTTTCGTCGTCAATTGTGTAGACTACCTCTGACACTGCATTACCAGGCGATAAAGGAGTGGTAGAGGAACAGGATAGCTCGTGAATCGAGCTCTCTTCTTGGTTCTTCTCCTCATTCTTTCGCTCATCTAATTTCGGTGCTGTGGTGGCCATTGTGGAGGATTGGGGCGCGATTGCTGCGTAGCTGAAGCTGTCCTGGTGTTTAGGACATCACTGAAAGGCCTGCAGACTGATACAGGCGACCGAAGATTTTCAATGCAACACGATTATGTCCACCGGGCCACTTTGTCCGCATGTAGAGTCTCACTGGCGAGGAGCATGACGCCGGCGACCAGTCGATACGACCGCGGGCCCAACTCAAGACGTGACACGGATGAAAACATTCAGACCCTGAGATACCCTCGTTGAGAGAGGATCCAGAGGCTTGATCCAGGGAACATTCTTCCCGGTTGCACTCTGATGTTACTTCAGCCCTCCAGGGGCGTGCTTCAGGATTTCCGTTTTCGGATGATAAGAAGGGATGGGGCCGAGAGCAGGAATGTCGCCCTCCCCCGGATCGACGTATCGCAATGCAGGTACAAGTCTCGATCGAAGTAGGGTCGTCTAGAGCGAGCCATGCTTGAAGACATTGTCAGAAAGGCGAAGGGGGGGAAAGGGGGGGGGAAAATACCTAGTAGGTCAGTCCATCCCAGTTCTTCTGCGTCAAGCCAGTGCAGCGGCATAGATGATGATAGCTTGATAAGGTACTGTACTCCGTAGCTTGGAATCTGTGGGGGAAGCGGGGACCAAGACCCATTTCAGCAAACACCACAAACACCCGCGATCCTCCGCATGTCACGTGCTAGACCGGCACGACTCTGGGCTATTTGCTCCGGGGGGATTTCGAACCTCCGGTAAATGGCTTTCCCCCCGTCCATCGGCTGTGTGTTCGGCAGTCGAAAGTCGGAGGCGGCAAGTGAACAATAAAATTATGGCCGTGCTACGCCCCTCCTTCCTGTCGGATGCCCCTCCTTCACTTATCTATCGCAAGGTCTCCTGCTCGGTGTTTTTCTCATTGACTCATTGACTCAACAGCTGCAATTGATCCCTGTGTCGCACCTTACAACCCCTCCAAAATGGCGACTCCTGGCTTGCTTTACGTGACGATGCACCCGCGTCCCTCGCTCCCCGCCGCTCAGTTCCACGACTGGTACAACTCGGAACATGGACCCTTGCGTCTACGCCTGCCTTTCGTCACCAACGGTTTCCGGTATCGTGCTGTCGATGGCGAGGAGCCTGAGTGGGTAGCTTGGTATGACATTACGGAGATGGAGGAGTTGACGCGCGAGACCTACCTGGCTCTCCGGGGAGATGGTATCAAGACTCCGCGCGAGAAAGCGACTATGGCTCAAATTGCCGTCGATCGCCGCCTCTACGACTTCCTGGGTGAACAAAAAGCCGCCGATTACACTCCGCTCGAGGATCAACCTGATACCACTGTGGCCGGCTCGGTGCTTGTCGCTGTCTCCACCACTCTTGTCGATGACGCCGACAAGGAGGCCGACTACAACCGCTGGTATACCGAAGAACACATCCCTATGCTCTCCCGCGTGCCTGGCTGGCGCTGCTCCCGTCGCTTCGTTACAGCCGCCATCGACCCCAAGGCCCCCCGCGAATACTTGACCCTCCACGAGTACAAAGCCACCAATGGCCTGGGGGGTCCGGAACACAAGGCTGCCATGGATACCCCTTGGCGCACTCGGATTGTGACCGACACGATCACCAGCCAGCGCCGTCGTGTTTTTGAGTGGGCCTACACCTTCGGACCTGCTCCCCGCGAGCTCTCTTCCCTGGCCTCCAAGGATGTTGCTGGGCCGTGGTCGTCCAACGACGGCCGCACCCGTACTCTCCCCTCGCCTACCCGCCCGGCCGTCGAGTCATTTGTCACCACCGCGGACGGTGTCGACCTGCCCTACCGGTTGGAGGGCAGCACTGACCCTCACAGCCCCGTCATTGTTCTGAGTAACTCGATTCTGGTGGATTACGCCATCTGGGATGACTTTGTCAGCGCCTTCCTCGCGGATCCCCGCAACCAGGGCTTCCGTATCCTGCGTTACTCCACCCGTGGCCGTCTGCAGGCCTGTGGCAAGCAGCCGATCAACATCGATGTGCTCGCCTCCGACATCATCGCCTTGCTTGATGCACTGCGCATCCCTCAAGCCACCTTGATCGGTGTTAGCATGGGAGGTGTTACGGTTCTCAACACCGCACTGCGCTACCCTACTCGGGTGACGCGCTTCATCGCCTGCGATACTAACAGCTCCAGCCCCGAGTCTAACCGCAAGGCCTGGAATGATCGCGTAGCAGTGGCCGAGCGCGAGGGTGCTGTTTCTGCTACCACCCAAGAGACGATTGTTGGTGAGGAGCTTGCCGAGGTCACAGTTCGTCGGTGGTTCACGCCGGAGTCCTACGAGACCCAGCCTCACCTGCCTGCTCAGGTGAAGGAGTTGGTGCGCACCAACAGCCTTGAAGGCTTCCGCCAGAGCGTCCAGGCTCTCTGCGCATACGATGTCCGGGAACAGATGGCGCAGGCGCAGGTTCCAGGTCTCTTTGTCGCCGGCGAGGGCGATGGTGTGCTTCCTAAGACCATGCAGCAAATGGCGGCCGACCTCCAGGGCGATGCGGAGCTCAAGCTCATCCCCAAGGCCGGACATCTGCCCATGGTCGAGAACGCTCCTGCCTTCACCCAAGTAGTCAACGAATTCCTCCACAAGTAGTTGTACAGAAAACTCAATTCAATTTTAATGTGTTCCAATGACTCACACTACTGCAGCTACGTGGATATTCTGTAATCCTGTAAGCATACCGAGGACAAGCAGAGGTGTGGCCTCAGCAAGTGACGACTTTTCAAAATGCGGCATGACGAGCGGTACCTGCAGGATGCAGCAGCCACGCTGGCACGAAATATGAGTAGGTATTCTGAGGAACGCGGCCGGAGCCGCCGTTTGCATTATTTAACTCGTTTGCTTCTTACAAGCTAATCTCTGTGCCAGTCCGTCGCCAGTTGAGGACTTCATCAAAACTATCTATCTTCCTTCGATCATAAAGTTCGCCTATATATGTGTAAAGACGTCGGTGGGCACTAAACCGATGTTGAGCCAAAAGGTTTGATTGACTCGACAAGATATGCATCCTCGGTAAATGCTGTTCTGCGATCTGGATCCCCCATTCCCGTGGCCGGATATCCCTGGTCGCCTCCCCGCAGTCGGATTTTCCGGACGGACCCGCGCCTAGATTTATCTTGCATCTAGAAGCCAATTTACAGGACCCCTCCAACTTCATCTAACCTTGTACACCATACATACTATACACAGCCAGCTCTGTTGATCGCTTCGTGGAGTATACGATCTATTGCAAACTGTTGACTAAAAGGTCAAAGCTATTTCTACGAGAAAATTGTGAATAGAGCAGACAACATGCCCCCGACGCCCCTCACAGTCCAATACAAGGAGATCGACGGCAGCAGAATCGACACAGATGTCTATCTCCCACCACTAGCAGCCTCTGACAACGGACAGCCGAGAGATTATCCTGTGTGTATGTGATCTCAAGGTTCTCAGCAACATCAATGACAACTACCCAGATCAATGAGATCGCTGACCTTTGAACGAGAACCACAGTAATCGACATCCATGGCGGCTCGTTCATGCTGGGCCATTCCAAGATGGTCTGCATGCCCCAGGTAGACGATGGCCTGGCCCGCGGCTGGATCGTGGTCAGTCCCAACCACCGACTTTGTCCGCAGGTGAACATCCTCGAGGGTCCGATGGCAGACTGCCGAGATCTTTTGGCATGGATCTACGACGGCCACCTCGATGCATTTCTTGCCGGGGAGTCAGCCGCGCATTTGCATGGATCGCAGTACCGCGTCGATAAGGACCGAGTCATGGCCTTTGGGACATCGTCCGGAGGCACATTGGCGTTGTCACTGGTAAGCGCCCGGCTTATTCCTCTCCCAATAGGCAGACAGCAAACAAAGATGATACTTACCTGTACCCTGCTGGACCGTAGGGATGGGACGTCCCGCGCCGAGTAGCAGCGATCCTCGACTTCTACGCCCCGGCCTACCTCACCCACCCGTTCTGGACGCAACCGCTTCCCGAGGTAGCCAGCAAGCTGCCGCCTCTCGACCCCGCGTTTCTCAACCGGATCTACGACGAGAAGCCCGTGCCTACGAACAGCTCGATCTCCCTCGAAGGGCAGACAGAGGTTGGCGTCGTGCCGGGCCCGGACTTCAGCCGCCCGCGCGACGGGTTCGCGCTCACGCAGGTCGCCAATGGGACGGTCATCCAGGCGTGCTATCCCGGTCGGGATGTCAAAGAGATCGACCCGGTCCACCACGTCGATGCGCAGTTCCCGCCAACCTGTATTGTGCACGGTGGGGCGGATACGAAGGTCACCATTGAGGTGAGTCGGGAGTTGTTCCGGGTGCTGAAGGAGCAGGGGGTGCGGTGTGAGATGATTGAGGTGCCCGGGGAGGACCACACGTTTGCGATGAGTATGAAGGTGGGGTCTCCGACGTGGGAGTTGCAGAGACGGGGGTTTGATTTCTTGGAGCGTGTGATTGCTTCTCGGTGATGGTCTTCTGTGTGATTATAGGATTAAGTGAATGCGTCATGTCTCTTCGATTTGTATCGAGCATAAGAGACAAAAGTGAGAACAACGTAGGATTACAGTTTAAGCTCGGATACAATAAGTGTAAACAAAAAGTCAATGAGTTAATGACGGGCGAGTTATGCCTGAGGACCCGAATGTCCGGCGCCAAGACAGGTTTCCGGATTAGGAAACAAGCTCACCAGCCCAGCCTGGCTCCAGGCTGGCTGCCAGGCTGGTGGTGGCATCCTCCGCGGGCGGGGTATCGGTGCTCTCCGATAGAGCAGTCAATGCGGGACCGGAGATATGATCATTTAAACTCCACTCCCCCCTTCACTCCCTTATCGCTCACCATTCCCCTCGATTCTACAGCCATACTCCTCAATCACTCTGCACCTTACTATTGAGTCGAGACAGTCCATGGACAACAGCCCACAACCTCACCAGCCGTCAACAGGCCCAATACCAACCCATCAAGCCCAACCCACCGAGCGTCTGAACCTCATCCGCAACCAGCTCAACAACCACACCCAACACTCCTCCTCCCCACCCTCCTCCTCCCAGACCCAAACAAAACCAACAAATCCAACCCCCAAATTCCCAACAGCAACAATGTCCCGCGATCCGATTACCTGCCACGTCCTCAACACCCTCACCGGCACGCCCGCCGCCAACCTCCCCGTGACGCTGACGCTCCTCTCCAGCAGCACGGGCAGTGCAGCCACAGAAGAGACCCCCACGTTCCGCGCGATCACCAACGCCGACGGCCGCGTTGCGAATTGGGAACCCCTACCCACCACCACGGCCTCGTCGCACCAAGCACAATCCGTCCCGGCGATCTTGGCCGCGCTCCCCGCGCCCGACAGCAAGACCAACTGGGCGGTGCGCTTCGAGGTGGGCCCCTGGTATGAGGCCCAGGGGGTGGAGAGCTTCTGGCCCGAGGTCGAGGTCAAGTTCACCGTCAAGGGGCGGGGCAAGGAGGGCGAGGAAGGGTGGCGCCATTACCATGTGCCTGTGTTGTTGGGGCCGTGGAATTACTCGACGTATCGGGGGTCTTGAGGGATGTACATACGGTACCTGTATTGGAGGGCTGATGTGTTGAGGAGATACTTGGATGGCAGTTTTGAAGGCTAAAATATGACTCGAATAATGGTGTTGGTACTGTAGTGTGTCCGTCGGATATAGAATTGGTTTTCAGTGCTGTGAGACATTATGAGCATTATGCTGTTAGAGATTGTGTTGTGATGTGGCTGGCATCGTTGCATTCTCCTGCTTGTAATGATGCACCTTTTCCCAGTAAACATACAACTGCAGTAAACGTACAACTGCTTCCCTGTCAAAAGTGGATCCTAATGGCAAACAAATTACGTTCTGGTAGCCTACGCAATTCGTATCCTGGAGTCCAGCATCATGCGGGGAACCGATGAGATAAGCTCCCGCTGCGACCGTCTGACCAAGATTGCCATGAAACAGTTTCATTGTCGCAATGCACTGGATACAGCACCGGGTCAGATAGAAGTTCTTGTGACAATGATAACAAGCAAGCCAGCCAGAAGCAGAGATCGACCATGTGCATCACACTTCGAGTTTATCTCCGTCGTGGGTGACAATGTAGCCGGAGATGCAGCCACGCGGCGACGCGTTCGCAGCCACGCGATGGTCGACTATCGCCGACGAACCGCTAAACCCAAGCGAAAGGAAACCATAGCTATTGAGTTTGATACGAACCCGCTGCTGCAGGGCTCTGCTTCGTTACCTTTGCCTTTTTCTCCGCCATTGCATGAAAAGCAGCAGTCCTGCACAAATGGCTCTGTCGCGTTAGCTCCGCTCTCAATGCTGGATGCAAGCCGATCGGACCCCTTCGAAACATTTCCGATCGATCGCGATCGCCGAGCTCGTCGGCTCTGGGACCATAGTACGATCTACCTGTCTGATTGGGAGTCACACTAGTCTACACAGCAGTTGACTGTGAGAATAGTGTACGATGGAACTTGTTCCATGTTTCGAACCATGCTCGACATCGGCTTCCTCGATGTCGTCCGTGAAACCATCGCTCTATCGCAACTGTTATCAGCCTCGTCGAAACACCTGGGACATCTATACGCCGACGATAGCAGCACGGATCATTACAGATACACCGTTCATGCGACAACTCTCCTGCAGCAGCGTCTAGGAGACCCCGCAACTTGTGTTTCCGACGAGGTGGTCGTTGCTGTGCTGGCCTTCTGTTGTTATGCTGTGAGATACTGCAGTCACCCTCGACCAATGCTCAATTGGCTGACTCGGCCCATCAAGAACATGACGCGGGATCCAAAGCTTTTGAACGTTCACATAAATGGTCTATCCCGTATCCTTGACTGCAGAGGTGGCGCCCAGTCTCTCGACTCTAACCCGCTGCTGAGGACCATGCTGTATTGGTGAGCACATACCGCTCTGCAGCTGTTGCCTTGACTAATGTATGTGCAGGGTGGATGTCAATGGCGCATATATCCAGGACAGTATGCCTCGATACCAGCAACCTCTAGCGATCCTGGCCGGTCGCAGCAAGCTCACCATGGCCTCGTATCAGTTCGACTTATCGCTTGAGGGCGGAACAAACCGCCACGTCTTTGTCTCATATATCCGTCAGAGCCTTGGCGAGTTGCACATGATCATGCTATCCGAGTTAATGAAACGGGATCTCTGGTCTGACGTCCTGTTTCCCGGTTTTCACATCTCACCGATTCTACACATTCTGCTGTCACACCCACGTGCCACAGTCCACGATACCATAGAGTTGCGTGTGATGGAATGCTTCCGGCTAGCTACGGTCGTGTATCTGACAGAGCTTCGTGGGAGATTTGGTTTAGACACCGTCCCTGGCCTGTTATACGGATCTAAGTTACATTTACTCTTGCATGATATGACGCTCTCTCTGCTCTCGACGAGTCATCAGATCTACCTTGTCTGGGCCTTGACAGTCGGGTCTTGTGCTTCATGTCTAAGTGAAGAATTGCAAGGATCGTTTGTAGGCTTGCTTAGGAAAATGATTGTATTCATGGGAGTGGCTGAATTTACTGACTATCAAGATCTTATTGGACAGTTCCTCCGGATTCCCGACGCTTTGTTTTGTTCACTGGATGCGCTGGAGGACCAGCTATTCTTTCCGTGACCAAGACAACTTCAGTTGTCAACAATCACGACCATTTTTCCATTAGCTTCGTTGGCTTCCATCATTCGATGTGCCTCCCTGATCTCGTTGAATTGGAACACACGCGACGGCTCTGCTGTGAATTTTCGATCGGCAACCATCTTCACGATGGACTGGAGGGGGACATCAGATAGGGGAAACTCCGGGGTACCGAAGACGAAGCTTCCAAAGAAGCTGAAATGTACACCGCTGGCCATCTGCAGGAGCGGGTTGAAGTCCTGAATCGGAGCTAGACCCCCCAGAAACCCAGCCAGACACACCCTTCCGTCCCGTCGCACCATTTTCAGCGAGTCCACAATGGTGCTGTTACCCACCAGGTCCAAGACAGCGTCGAATCTCTCCGCCAACCGCTCCGACAGATCGGGTCCTTCGACCACTGCACGCTCGGCGCCCAGCGCCTTCAAGCGCGCAAAGCGACTCTCCCTGCGACTCGTCGCGACCACACGTGCACCCGTTTCCACGGCCAGATTCAATGCTGCCTGTCCGAAAGCCGAGGTCGCGCCGCGGATCAGCAACGTCTGCCCGCTCCTCAGATCGAGATTCCGGAACAGACACGTCCAGGCTGTGGCGTAGGATTCCGGGATTGCAGCCAGCTGATGCCACCCCAGCGTCGATGCCCCTGAGCCGAGCTCGACAACGTTGGAAGCCCGCACGCGGGTGTACTCAGCATAGCTGCCGTTGATGGTGCGCCCAAGTCCGCCCATCAGACTGGCCACGGCGGTCCCTTCTGCGAACTCGCCCCCGGGACAGTCCACGACTGTGCCAACACATTCGATCCCGCTCACGGGCATCCACTCGGCCCATTCCCCTTTGCGCATGTGCATCTCCGCGTGATTGACGCCAAAGGCTTTGACTTTGATGACGACTTCGCCGGTCTTGGGTTCGGGTCGGGGGATCTCCTTGATCACCAGGGAGTCTGGGCCTCCGAACTTCTCGATAAGGATCGCCTTCATTCTGCTGGAGGTGTGTGGGAATGTGTAGACTTTTTTAGGTGCAGTATGCAAAGAGAATTCTGCTTGAGAACAGGGTACGATCAATGGATTATTCTTTGAGCGAACAGACTTCGATATAGATCTGTAATGGCAACGGCAGATAAGAATCGGTGAAGGGAAAGTGAAAGGCGACACTCAAGCGATATTTATAATTCGTGAGAGTGCCATGCACAGCTTCAAATCTCGTCATCAATCTCGTGTTTGTAATCCGCAGCCCTGGCCAGATATTCTTCACGAATCTCCAATCTAAACCATAGACTGGGGACCGGGGGCCCGGGGTCTCAGCGCATTCCATTTCGGGGATAGTGTGCTCTCGTTCCCGCGGTGCCCACGGCCCGCCCGCGCAGACCTTACCCAAATAAGAAAACGCTGGCTCGGTGGTTGCAGGAGACCGACCGACCAACTACTGACACGAGACTCTTCGATCTTGTACTACAAGGTTTTGTTAGCAACGATCTTAGAATTTGTAAGCCTTGAAGTCTCCGACCAGCCTTTCCCGCTGGTTGTCCAGTGTATCTTGCACATCTGTTCTACATAGCTGCAACAGGATACCTGGCGGGCGGACCGAGAAGCTGTCAGCAACGTCGAATAAATATATGTAGAGCAGAGGATCGAGAGAACCGAAAGGAAGCTCGCTTTACGAACGGCGAACATCCAGAATATCCCTCTATCAATAAATACCTTCCCTCAGAAGCAATTTGATGATGTCTAGTATTGCGGTGCAATAGATATCCCCATCCCAACCAGACTGTCGCATTCAAACTCCATCGTCTACCGGGTGACAACGACCCGAGGACCCCCAACGTCCACAAAGAACCTTACAGCAGATATCAAAATCATATGTCTACCACAGTATACGTATACTCATATCCTGTCAGTATGCTAAGCATGATCCGTGTATTGATATCTGAGCTTTTGTAAAAACCGCGGGATTTATGCCTAAGATACTGAACATCTTCCTTGTTCTACAGCGGAAACTCTTCGCGAGACGCGAGGATTGCTACTACAACTACCATACGTAACCGCCTGCACCCTGACTCTCATCTTTCTCATGCTTTCCAAACCAATTGCATCTTGCGTAAAGTAAGTCCTTGAGGTTTACCGATACGCGTGGGCGGAGTGGGGTGGTGTTGCAGATTGTTTCCAAGGCGGGCGCCAGAGGGGGGGGGGGATCATAAGTTGAATGGGCGATGTAGAAACCTATGCTTTGGAAGTTGTATGACGCAAGTAGTGTGTCTGTCTACAGGAAATAGTAGAAGAATTAAGATACTGTGTTAGGATAGTACAATACTGCCATCTTAGCACTCAGGGCCCGCTGAGGCTAGTGGTTTCGTAACTGTTGCCTAAAGCCATCAAAACCCTGCAAGCTACTGCAGAGCAAGAAACACAGGGTCCGGATCGCAACATGGAAAGAAAACTGCCCTACAACGTGCCACGCACTTGTTGGCCGGTTCCTGCGCGGGCAATCCCTTGCTCTCAACCTTGGTTGGTATGTGCCTTGCGGAATGCAAGCTCGCTGTCGCGAAAGACGTCAGAGCTGCATGGCTCGGACAATTGCTTTTGGGGTTAAATGCCATCGACGATACCTACGACACTTTGGTCCGAGGATGGACCGATTCAAGGTTGTATTTCCCGATTTGAGGGTTGTGGCTGCTATCACGAGGGTCTCGAAACTGGGTTTTCTGCATGGTTTGGCAGCGGTGGCGGCGCGGGGGTGGTGACAAGGGATAATGCCGCCAGGCAGAAGAGATTCAACGGTTGAGAAAATGGTCTGGATGAGCAGGATGACTTTTTCAAAATGTAGATGAGATCACAGCAAGATAGACACACAGATACTGGTTTTTTGGGGGCTCAGGAGTGGACTGGTCAAGTAGAGTTCAAGTGGTTGTTGTCAAACCCCTGATCGACCGCCCTTTCTGCGGAAGATCAACAAATAGATGGATGGCCCTAACCTTAACTATGGGCTTGACTTCCTTACTCTAAGTCTTGCCCTAAGGCATGCCAGTATGCAAGTTTCCGCCGCGCGGGATTCCTCCCAAACCTGGACAATCCTTGTCTGGACTCAGTCCAGGTATGCACTAATAAATATCCACATAAATAGAGGAAGCTCCCAGAATCATGCCTCCACTCGTTGCGCGCCCTCCCCCCGGCCCCTGACACTTTCCGACCGTGTGATACGCCATCCCTGGGCGAAATCCCAATGTCCGACTAGGCCTTTTCTCGAAGCAACAGGTATCGAGGTTTGTATTTCCGACTCAAGGGGAACTTTCACTCTTTGTTTCCCCCTGATCGGTCACTTTTTTTCTCCTCGGTCTTTTTCTTTGATGCTTGTATAATTGCATTCGCTTCAACCCACGCGCGCCGTTATGATGGCAAACTCGACATTCGCTCTGCTTTGCATATCGTGGCTATCACTCTTTTCACTGGTGCTCGCGAGACCGCCAGATGAATGGCGCAACACCTCGATGCCGCGGATGAGGAACTCGGGCTCCGCTCAGAAAATTGCGCCTTTTCCGACCTCAAGCGCGGTATCCATCCCCCAACGAAGCTACATCCCTGATCCGACGTGAGTCCCACCCGGAAACAATACTCGAAGGAAGTACCCACTGACAGCGACAGTGGCATCCCCTTCGTGATCCAAAACCGCACCGCGCAGCCATGGGTGAGCCTCAACGGGCCTCCGGTGCACCAGACCATCGCAACGGCCTCGCCCTCCCTCTGCGCCAGCTCGAGCAACTCCGGCGGATACTGGTACGAGAACATCGAGCACAACGGCCAATCGTCCTTCCTTGACTCCGGCCACAAGGAGGAGTACAAGGTCTTCCGGAACGTGGTCGAAGATTACGGCGCCGATAATACGGGCAGCCGGGACGCGGCGCTGGCGATTCAGGCCGCCATTCACGGTACGTGGGAAGCCCTAATTCCTGGAGAGTCTGAGACCGGAAGCTGACAGTCGGTTTCTCGCTGCATATAGCCGGACCCTCCAACGGACCCGATCGCGCCTCCCACTCGATGGGCACGACCGGCCAGCCGGCCATCGTCTATCTCCCCGGCGGGACTTACCTTCTTGAGAGCTCTCTGCAGCTCTTTGTGGGAACGGTTCTGATCGGGGACCCGACCAACCCGCCCGTGTTGAAGGCCGCCGCCAACTTCCCGGATGACCACATCATCTACGCCAAGGACCCGAATTTCGGGGGCACCATCAACTTCTACATTGGCATGAAGAATGTGGTTTTGGACTCGACAGGCGTGGGATACAGTAAGAATATCGTCTTGCTCGACTGGACCGTCAGCCAGGCGACGCAGTTGACCAATGTGGGATTTAACATGCCCACTGGTTCTGCGACACATGTCGGGTTGACGACGCAGTATGATTACAACAGTAACCTGATCATGGTACGTTCCCCAAATTCTTTCTGAGTTATGACAATAGGAATCTGACCTTGGCAGAACGATCTGTGGTTCAAAGGCGGCGCGGTGGGGATGAAGCTCAACGGCCAGCAGTGGGTGTTCAAGAACCTCAGTTTCCTCGGGACCACGACCGGCGTCGTCGCGGGGGGCACCGACATCACATTCATGGGATGCCGCTTCGAGCAATGCCAGACCGGGATTGACGCGCACGGGACATCTGGGTCGTTGACGGTGATCGATACCAGCGCGACGAGCGTGGGGACCTTCATCACGTCCGGCACGTCCGAGACGGCTGGCAACTCGATCATTCTGGAGAACATCAGCAACTATGGCAACACGGTAAAAATTGGCGACACGATCGTCCTAAGTGGGGGCGTTTCGGACACCTGGGTACATGGACACATGGTAGGTATTCCTGCTTCCACCACCACTCCAGCAATCGACTAACCTCCGTACGAACAGTATACCTCCGGCTCGAACCAAATGCAAAGCACCAACGGACAGCTCGTCAAGACTCCCCGTGCCTCCGCACTGTTGTCTGGGAACAAGTACTTCACCAAGGCACCCCCGACGTATCAAGAATATACGGCCAACCAGGTCCTAAACATCAAGAACGTCGCCGGAAAGCCGGTGTACGGCGACGGGGAGACGGATGACACGCGCAACATCAACGCCATCCTCTCGAGCAACAAGGACTGCAAGCTCATCTACTTCCCCGCGGGAACCTACATCGTGACCGACACCATTTTTGTCCCCAGCGGCAGTCGCATCATTGGCGATTCCTTCGCCTCGATCATCAGCGCGGTGGGCGACAACTTCGAGAACGAGGCTTCCCCGCGAGCGATGATCCGGATCGGATACCCGGGGGATACGGGCGTGGCTCAAGTCAGCGATATGGTTCTGACTGTTGCAGATATCCTGCCTGGTTGTCAATTGGTCAGTCTCCATCCTTCACCCCGTTGTACTACCCCCAACAAGCAAGACCCTAACGAAGGAACAGCTCGAAGTCAACATCGCCGGCACGAACCCGGGCGACGTGGGATTCTGGAACACGCACTTCCGGATTGGCGGGGCGGTGGGCAGTCTCGTGGAGAGTCAGTGCACGGGCGGCGCGGAGAGCTGCAAGGCGGCGTACGGGCTGGTCCACCTGACGAGCACCGCGTCGGCGTACATCGAGAACATGTGGGGGTGGACGGCGGACCACGACCTGGACGGGGAGAACGCGCAGACAATCTCGACGGGGCGGGGGATGCTGGTGGAGGCGACGGCGGCGACCTGGCTGATCGGCACCGGCATGGAGCACAACACCCTGTACCAGTACAACTTCCACCACGCGCGCAACGTCTTCTCGGCCCTGCAGCAGAGCGAGTCCCCCTACTGGCAGGGGGTCGGGAGCACCCTGGCCCCGGCCCCCTGGGACGAGCACCTGGCGAGCAGCGACCCGGACTTCGCGGAGTGCGCGGCCGACGACGCGCTCTGCCGCATGGCGCTGTTCGAGCGCATCAGCGGGTCGTCTGACCTGTTCCTGTACGGCGGGTGCAACTGGGTCT